TAATATTAAGTTAGTGATGCTGCCATGTGTTAACAGTTGTAGACTGCAATTCATATTATGTGGAATTCCCCCCTCCTCCCCTCAAAAAAAAAAAGGCAATGATTCAGCTGAAATATCCAGGCTTCATTTAGAAGAAAGAAAAAAAATTAAACACCATGTTACTTCAAGACGTAAGTGATCATGGCACCCCACAGATTCCTTTTCTTTGTAATCTTTGAATTGACATCACTTCTTGGGAAAGATAAGGCAGTTTTTTTCTGCTATCTTCTCGATAGCTTGAACTTCAGAGTATCAGTTTTCTCCTAGACTGACTACCACTCAATGCTAGATAGCCCAGTCTACTATGCTATTTAATTGGGGTAGAAAAAGTTGATTCAAGGGCAATTTGGGAAGAAATGACAGAACTAAACTGGAATCTGAATTTGGCTCTCACTGATTTTGCTTTCCACTCCTGATAACTCTGGCACTACCCAAATGTATTTTACTGTTTGTAAAATCATGACAAGATCCAATTATTCAAAAAGAATAAATATTTTAAATCTAAACCCATAATTACAAAACAAAATACCTATTACCTTTAAATGAATATTATATTTCACAAGAAAGAATGCATCTACCTGATCTGTCATCTAAAGAATAACTTAATTTTCTTCTCCTTTCCTACCTATCTCATTAGGGACTGTTAGAAGTCTATAAACTGTTAATCCAGTGCTAGATTAGTATGGTAAGAATAATCCATCAGTTTTGAAAATGACATGAAATAAATACAGGTAATTCTTAAAATAGTTGACTTAGCAAAATGCAATCCAGGTAATTCTATGTAAAAAATCTCTGCTTTCAAAGCAAATTTCTGTCACTACAATTTTTATCTGTTGCCAGTGTTTTACTATATAAGAATTTTTTTCCGTTTTTGGCCCAAACTGAGACATCATTGACTTGATTTGACCTTGTGTTCCACTTTCATATAATTTTTCTTGTAGCATCTTGCCTGTCCACAGTAATTTCTTCCAGACTGCTGAAGTATAGGAAAAATCTTATTTCTGAAATTGTTTGAAATGATGTTCCACATTCATGCTTGGATGAGCCAGTTTTTGCTATTTCTGCATTCTTTCTCAATTAGAAAGTGTCTACTTAGCAGCTTGCAGTAAATATCAAACATCCTCAAAAAAATATTGACATCTGTCAGTTTCAAAGATTCCTATTTGAACTTCATTTAAACTCAGTTCATTCATTCATGGAGAATTTTTGGTCAGGTTTATCTTTGGAGCACAGTGTGTGCAATTTATTTTCCTCTTTAAATTCTAAATTTGACTACAACTTGCACAAACTTAGAACTGAAACAAGTTATTATTTCTCTCAACTGATATATTTGATTGTGTGTATGTGTGTATCTATATGTTTGCAAGTGAAATGTCCTAAATATTTTAAAAATTTCTTTAAATACTATAAAATTAAACATTAAAGAAAATTTCACTTTTTTTCTAAACATTAAAAAGAAAAAAAAGTGAATAAATAAAAATATGTTCAAACATAATTATAAAACCAATTTCAGAATCTGATACAGGTTTTCAGATGTGTTCATTTGTAGTATTTTTAGATTTCAAAAAAATTGAATTTTGTCTTTTTTTTTTTTTTTTGTGATAGGGAGGGAGAAGGGGGCAATAAAATTCAGTATATTCAACAGATGAAGGTTGATTTTTGTCATTATTTTTATTAAAATATTATTTTCCCTTTTAAAAAAAATCAGATCAGTTAAAATGATATATTTTTTTCTGAAGAAAATGTAATAAAGCTGATAACAAAAAACTGTTAACCTCTGCTTATCAGAAGAGACTACACAGCTGTTTGAATGACATCATCCAGTATGACTTGAGACAAGTGTGAGAAAATGTCACTTGATATATGCTGTTCAAGCAAAAATGAACAAAATTGGTAGATTGGAATTGTTTGTTTGATAGTTTTTCTCCATTTTCCATTCTCAAAATTTATCTGTTTGGTGGTTATTACCCTAGTGGCGTTTCCAGATTCTTCTATTTACTTCACTGCCTGAATTCCATCGTTTAGAAGAAAAAAAAAATCCTTCTTTATATATAAAAACAACATTTTACATGATAGAGGATAAATGCTCACTAATAATGTTAAAAAAAAAACAAAAAACAAACAAATCTCACTTTTTTTCAAAATTCAATACTTACCCTTTTAGGTTATAAAGAAAATAATTGGCTGTGCAATTTATAATTTCAGAAGGACCTAAAAAAATACTAAATGAAAGACAGACCTATAACAGTACTTTATTTCTTTTTTTTTTTTTTTTTTGCTTCCAGAAATTGTTTGTGCTAATATAGTTTTTGGAATTTAACAACCTTTGCTTACATCATTTGAATGATAAAAAAAAAACAAATAGTTAAAAAAAAAAAAAAAAAAAAAATGACAAGGTGTAAATTTAAAAATGGTGCATAATATTTACCTCTTCAGGTATCACAGGAATTTCTATTCTTATTTTTGTTTGAATTTATTTTATCTTTTGAAATAAAATGCTTTTGATGTTACTTAAAACAAAGGGAATTAGATCACACACACACACACACATATATATATATAATATATATATATATATAATATATATATATATATATATATATGCTCTATCAGTTTAAAGTGATAAATAGCTTAGAAATTTTCCACAAAGACTACCTGTGTTTGTGTAATTTGCAGTACCTTTTATCATCTTCATCAGTCCCAAGACCAGGTGTGGTCATACAGTTACTGCACTGCTGAGCACCTGACCAGCTCCCTCCATATGTCTCAGTTGTGTGCCACTGTCTGAATCTATGTGAATGATCTTCCAGTCTATTCACTTATATTGTCAGCTCATTTTTTCTGCCTGTTTGTTGCTGCTTCTTTTGTGTAAGGTGGAACCCTTTATTGATTGATTGATTTTGTTTTCTGTGGCTTATTAACCCTTTGCAGGTTAGTTAAAGCCAGAAAATATTTATTTATATTTTATTTATATTTCAGTGATACAAATCTTACTAATTAACTCATAGCTGAGGGGAAGAGGTGGGTTCATATTTTTCCCAAGGTTAGTTGCGTGAGAAGTGAATATAATGAACTCAACTGAAATTGGAACTCTGTTCTCCAATTAACAATTCTGAGCCATTATCTATTATACCACCTGCACATCTGGAACCTTGCAGGATGGCACTGGAAAAATTCTTGGCTCTTCTGATGTGCACATACCGTTTCAAATTTTTTTAACTGATAGTGAATATGACATCCTTCAACAGGCCTGTTTCCCGTCCAACAATGTGTCTCGTGATGTATCGTTTGTGATAGGATAGATGCCTAGAATGGTTCTGTATGTAGCATCCCATCTGCTGTTAATGTTCAAGATTTGCAGGTGTACAAAAATATTGTGAATGCCAATGCATGCAATGGTTTGGCAGATGTTCTTGTCTTTCCAGATAATTCTTAGTTTCATGATAGATGCCATTATTTGTCTTGCTCTTGCAATTATTTCAATTCTGGAGCCCTCTTTACTGCTAATCATCCCAAGATATTTGAATTGTTTCATTACTCTAAGCTCCTGACTACGGACTTCGAACATGATTGAAAACCCTTTCAGATTCTTCATTAGCAGTTTCGTTTTACCTTTAGGCATTGTAATATGAATAATCCTATTAAATGTTTATTTTAATGTGTTCCTCAAGTTTAATAATTGACTAATGCAGACTTGTAAATTTTTTCATGTATTTTATTCTCCTTGTTTTATTTTTCTTAAAATACATTTTTTTCTTTTTGTTCCCCCCCACCCCCATTCTTCAACTATATCATCAGTTCTGTTGATTTCATTTTTTATTTTTCAAACTAATTCTCTGCCTTTTTTGCATTTTTTTACAGGCAATGAGATTTCCACCAAAGTCTTACAATAAAGATTTAGAGTCGGCTGAGGTGAGCATAACTTGTTGAATTTTTAACATTTTTTTAAAAAGTTTTTGGTAAGATAACAAAAATTTGTTTTCCAGAATCATTATTATGATCTATATGTAATTCAAATGTTTTTCCTCTAGACAACACACAATCCCATCATTTGCCTGCTTTCTTTTTGTCTAGTTTTTTTTTTTTTTAATTTTTTCTTTAAAATAGACGAAATTTCAAAATAATAATTCATTCAATTGTTGAATCATTAATATCTAGTTTTTTTTTGCAGGGAACTGATTATAAACCATTCATAAAACCTTGTAACATTTTCAAAAGAATGTAGGTAGGAATTTAATAAAAATAAAATAAAAATTGTAGGGACAAAACTGTGTGATGCTTTTTCTTTTGTTTTTGACTTGCAATGCAAAAATTCTCCTCAGAATTGTTCAGAGCAGAAACAATTTTCCTTCATTTTATCCAAATAGTTAATGATCCAGTTGATCTATTCTGCATGTAAAATATATTAAATTTTCCATTTTATTTTCCCACACATTTCTTCTAATAAAAAAAAAAAAAAAAATTTGTGGGTGGGTAATTATTAATAAATTTAACTTTTTCTTTCGTCATTATCATAAACATTATTTATTAGTATTGTTTAATATTATGTATATTTAATTTATTTGCTTGACAATATCTGATTGTTATTCCTGGAGATTTAATGTCAGCCAATCTCCTCAAACCTTTTGCATCTGCCTCACTCTCCTTGAATATCCTAGAACAAAAACAACGTCACTGATTTTTCTATTGATTATCTATTATTATTGATATAAATAGTCTTTGCTGATAATGATGATAATAATATTACTCCTAATAATTGTCTTTATATCATTTTTCCATGATAATGATAACAATTGATTGTTTATTTAAAAAAAAAAAAATACAGGAAAACTCTGGGTGAGTGACATGCTGAAATTTATGTGTTCTGTTAATTATTAGCCCAATAAGGTATATATACAACGTAAAGCAAGAACTTTTCATCTGAACCATTTTTGACAAACATTTTGGTTTAAGGGGAAGAAATGATTAACATTTTTTTCTCTCTCTCTCTCTCGCCAATCATTGCTCTGAAGTAGGGAATAATAATGAAAGCAAAATCCCAATAAAGGAGTATGTTTTATTTCTTAAAGGCTTGTTTGATTTAGCAAAATTGCCTAACCATGCTTGTTGTAGAGCTTCTCATGATTTCATTTCTGTTGCTCACATTAAAATGACTCTACAGAGTTCAGGAAGCATTGTAGAATGGTTTTCAGGCACTTCTTAAGAATCAATGGTTTCACTGAATGAGAACAATTCTTCATATGTTAATAATCATAAACCTATTTAATTAAACAAGCCAACTTTTGTCTAATGATGAAATCTATTTCAGAGAAATCTTTCATCTTTTTACCGTTGATTAACCAGTTGAAATTTCCAGAAAAAAACCCTATAAACCTGGTGTTATAATAATAGAAAGAAATAACTTCAAATTTCACTTGTGCAGTTATTTATATTTGAAAGCTAATTTATAAATACATCTTCATCTTGCTACAATATTTTGTGTATTTACTTCCAGTTTATTTGTCAACACCAAAGTTTAAAGAAAAAGAAAGAAGCATGATAATAAAAAAAAAATAAATCTAATGCTTGGAAGATAATACACATGAATGGTTTTACATTTATTGCACTTAGGGGATTTCATAAATGAATTCAAGTTATTCAACTTTAGGATATTTTCTCTTTTAACTTTCCATTGTTCAAGGCAACAAACTAACCCTGTCTTAATACAGGAAAGAAGTGTTAAAACTAAAACACTTGGGTACATCTTTGTATACATCATTTTCTGCCTACATCTGTTCTTTTCCTGCCCTCTTTGTGGATTATGAGGATATCCAAAAGAAATAGGAAATTTATTCTTATTCTCTTTCTCCATTATGATCCAACCAAACCTGTACATCCACTTGGTGGATGCAGAATGTATGTGTCCCCTCTGAATACCTAACTTTAACTGAAAGTTTTATTGTTGGAATGTAAAGCATGAGTTTTCAAAAAAGCTATGTCGAATGTTAGAAATTACAGGGAAAATTAAAATAGCCATAGCTAAACTTTTTTTTTTTTTTGTAAAGGTTGACCATAGACATCACTTTTAATCAGTTCCACCAAATAGGTAGAGTTCATTACATTTAATTGGTGTCTTACATATTGCTCAAAAAAAAAAAAAAAAAATTTTTTTTTTTTTGTCTTTTGTCTTCAATTTCTTAGAATATGTCAGTTAAAAAGTGGTTCAATTATCCTGTGAGGGTAAAAGCAGTTGTGTGCCTAACCATTCAAAGCTATGACATCATGGAATATTTGCATTATGAAACAAGGGTTATATGTTGTTATGTTGCCTGTACTCAATAGAAGTAAAGAGATGCTTTTCTTTAAAATGATATACACCCTGAACAAGGCTCTAGAGCCACTTGAGGTAGAGAGTTACAGAATAAGAGGCACAGTTTGTGGGCATATGTGAGGAAGATAGTAGTTAACACTAGACTTAAACAAGTTAAGATTGTAGTGATCAGGGAAGCATCCTCTTGGGAGTCTCTTTCTCAAAGCTGCAGTTCATGGGAAGAAGCTGTTTGAATAGAACCTACATCTCACCAATAGAATATGAAAGGAATGAGAATGGTTGGCTACAATGTGCGTGGTATGGCGGGTTTTAGCTGTGAAGGTTAGAACTGGTGGAATTAAGGAATGTAGCTCATCTGAACACTTTCCATGGTAATAGCAATAGAGCAGCGAAGGGCTTGTGACCTTTAGTCTGGGAAAGGGGTTGTAGAGTGAAAAAAAAGTCTTCACCTACAAGAATGCAGAGATTGGAAAGTGAAGACTGGCCATTCCTGCCCGTATATGGAAAAAAAAAATCCTCTTTGACGATTCTCCTTTTCTGATGTTTCTGGTCTAGATCTCTCTTAATGTTCCCTCCCTTGCTTCAAGTTGTTTATTCATTATGTACAAATTTACTTTTATTACACATATTTTATATCAGGCTTTCTTTCACATACTCACGTATTTATCGATACCTACATTCACACATGTACTTATTTTATATTGACACATATATGCTGATTTATAAATACATGTATGCACACACAGTCTTTTTCATTCTCTGTCTGGATGTACAAATGCTTTTCTGTATGTAATAACGTGTTTGTATCTATGTACATAAAAGTAGATATACACCTACACATATAATTATATCATAGAAGAATTTGCAGATTACAGTATTATATTCTATAGTTTTTTTCTTATTAAACTCTCGGCTGTACAAGCATCAGTAAAAATAGTTAAATGAAACAGATACAGACGGTGTGTGCGTAAATCCTATTTCTTTGGTCTACAAAATATTGTTTTTCCTCTTATTTGTGTACCAAGTTTCCTGTCGTGATTTTTGCTACTTTATATTCCCTTCTGATTGGCTGTAATAACAGGATCCTCGACTGCATTTAGGAATTAACTGTGGCACTAGAAAATGAAGAGAGCCTGTGTCTTGCAGCAAGAAACCTTCTGCTGCTCTAGACTTTGAAAAGAACATTATAAGAAATAAACAATTGCTGATTTCATTTAATTTTTATTTTTCAGTTCTTGTGTATATGAAAGACAAGCAAAATTTTGAATGCCTATTGTTTTACATGGAAAATGTCTTGGATTTCCTGTGCTTCAAAATAATTTTACTGTCTCTGATTAGATAGGAAAAGAATTTTGTTTCTTTTCTTTCTCTTTTTTTTGGGTGGATGGAGGGGGAAGTGAAAAGGAAAATGTTTGCTTTTCTTTAAAACTTTGAAAAGATACAGAAAAGAAAACTGAAAAATTTTCGTTTATGATATTTCTTCAAAAATTCTTACCTAGAAATGAAACAAATAGTTCAACTTTTGAGGTTTACAATTTTTAAAAAGTTTACTTTTCAGATTTTATTGTTTTTTTTTTAAAAAAATAAAAAAAATAAAAATAAAAACAGAATAAAAAAAAAAGAAACTAAAACAATTTTGTCTTTTCTCTTCAATTCTTTGTATTGTAGGTTTTATTGAATATATAGGGATTTTGTTGTTAACAAACTCTGGGAACAAATTGAAGCAAATTGAGAATGCCAGTGTTTCGAAAGTGTGTTGTCTATCTCCTAGCACACCCACTCTACCATTTAACTGATTTTTTTCTCTATCAATATCTGTCAATAAAGAAAATTGAACTTTACTGCTTATATCACTTTAAGGTGAACAGAGAAGAACCAACTTAGAAAACCCATGTCTAATACAGGAAACATTTGATTATATTTAGTATGGCTTGTTTGTCTTGTATGTGATTTTCATTTCAACATTAAGATTTCTCTGATTTGTTTACATTGTATGTGTATTTAATTTCTATAATATAATACGAAGAAAATGATAATTTCATTTTTAAAATTTCTGAAAATTAATAGATTTTATGAAGTATTGATGTGCAAACACTGATACTTGCCTTATCAAACGTTTTAGATTATATTTTATAAGGACTTCTCTTTTTTCTCCCCACCCCCCAATCAAATGAATAATTTCATTGCTGATTTAATAATAATTTTCTGATTGTGACAGGGAATTTTTTGTTACTCTGTCTTGAATTCAGGCCTTAGTGCATTTTATTTATGTAGTCTGGCAGCTTTAGCCTTTGTGTTTTACCATTTTTTACATTTATTTTTATTAAAGATTATTTTTAAAATTAGAAATATCTTTTTGTTGTAAATTTATTCACTTGCATTTATGATAAATATATTTCTATGGGTTATTCTGCAGCAATTTCTTCAGAGGCAAGTGACTAAATTAACTGACTACATTTCCTATCATCCCAACAACAAAAAAGAAAAAACAAGCCTCTCAAATCACAACATGCAAATTACTTTTGATCACTTGTTAGATTTTTGTACCTGTAAAAGTAGTTTTGTGTTGCACATTCTCAAAATGTAACCTATAATGTTTGAATTCCTTTGAAGTAGCTCCCAGCATCTCTGATTGACTGCAGCTAACTGCAATATTTTCTTTTCACCTTTACTTAATAAGACAAGAGTGAGTTACTCTGAACTGGTCAAAGTCTCTCTCTTTTTTTTTTTTTTTTTGTTGATACTGCATTACAAGCTGACACTGTCAAGAGATGATCTGTAGACTATATGCATTTTGAATGAATAAAAAAAAATGATGCTTTGTGTGTGTGTGTTTGACATGATAAGCTATGATAGTAGATGGGGTATGCAGAAATCCCCCTTTTTTTTTTACTTAATGGAAATCACAGTCTCCAAAATGGTTTAATTAGGAATGCATTCCTTGAAGCTTAGAATCAAGTGCAGATTTCCTTTTGAAATATCTCAATTTAATTAGGGATAAGTGCTCTTACCATTTCATCATGGCTCCAAAATTGTGTAGGGCGAGTAGAGAGGGCAAAGGCATTTTGGCAATAGGAAGAAATATGATGTTCAGTAAATAAAAGAAAGCAAGTAGCAAGCCTAAAATAATCTGCAGGGAAGAAATTCTCATCAGGGGAGAACAAAAACAAAATTTAAAAAAAAAAAAAAGAAAAAAACAGAAAAAGGTGATTGGGTGAAATTTCCAGAAGACAATTTCTAAAAAACAAAAGAAATGTATGTGTCATTACTGTTTAGCCATGATGGTTTAAATAAAATTCAGAATTAAAAGAAAAATCATACATACATGCACACAAGGAAATAGCACACACACACACACAAAAGCGACAACAAGATGACAAAAACAGTTCTTTCTTACTGTAATATGATGATGAATTTGACAAAGGTGTCTCTAGATAAAAAATGTTAGCACCTTGAAGCAATGAGATCTTAAGATTTGGGTGTCTTTATTACCTGTTCTTGTTCAGAAATTAGGTTCAACCAAATATTGAGTTCCATTTAACAGCATTATTATTTGTTTAAATTGTGCCTTTTTTTTTTTTTGTCACTCAAACATAATCATTTCTGAGTCTTTTTTTTTTTTTTACTCATGCATCAGTGTGTCTTTAACAGTTGTTTGTATAAGAATTACTTGTATATGTACTCAGAAAGGATATGTGCGTGTGTAACACATGTAAAGGAATAATTTCTGTAAATAGACCACATTATTTTATTCCAGTATGACATTTAAGAAAGACAAGTTTGTTGATAATTAACTAGTTAACTATAAAGATACAAGGGATCATTACTCAATATTTCCTATTTGAAGAGAATAGGAATTGTGAGATTTCAAAAGAGATGCATCCCTTTTTGAACCACTGATGATCAATCAGAGCATGGAATGGAGTAGAAGCAGATTGCACAAAAACTTGGGAATTCTACACTCACCTCTAGTGAATTGAACATGGATCAGTCATCTAC